ATTATATTATGAAGCTAAGATTGGAGCTAAGAAGCAAAGAAGCTAAGAAGCAAAGAAGCTAAGAAGCAAAGAAGCTAAGAAGCAAACCTAAAGATTGGTGGAAGGAGGTGAAACGTCTCTGTGGTCATCAACGAAAGTCGACGAGTAATAAATTTGCAAATTTGTAACAAGATACACAAGACCTCGATTCACTTAGTAACTTCATAAATGACTGTTTCTTGGAACTCATGCGTGACTACCAGCCGCTGTCTGATAGCATCTCGATCCACGTTGGCCGAAAACGATAATCCAATTCGTTTATCTGAGGAAGTTTTAGCATATTTAAACCGTATTAAGCTGGGAAAATCCAGTGGCCCTGATTGCTTGCCGAATTGGCTCCTGCAGAAGTTTGCAGTTATCCTAGCAATGCATATATCAACAATTATAAATGCGTCTTTTAAAGAAATCAAGTGCCTGATTGCTGGAAATTGGCCACTATCTGCCCAATACCGATAAAGAAACAAGTGATTGATGTTAATAAAGATCTTAGACATATATCCCTTACCTCATCACTCTGTAAAATTGCCGAAGATGCCACTATAAAATACGATCTAAAACCAGCACTTACGGATTGTCTGTATTGTAACCAATTTGGTTTCATACCGGGTTCTAATACCACCCTGGCATTAATCGCCTTAATCCATCGGTGGTCGGAAACAGTAGATAGAGGGCGGATGTGTGCTATCACTGGTTACAGATTATCGGAAACCTTTTGATCTTATAGATCATAATATTCTCTATGCGAAACTTTTAGAACAAGGTCTTAAACCATCAACTTTATATTGGATCTCAGATTTTTTGAGGGGAAGATTACAGTAGGTAAAGCTTTCATCGAATCTTTTCTCAAATTGGAAACCCGTTAATGCTGGTGTCCCCCAAGGAACCAAGCTCGGCCCATGGCTTTTTTGTTATGGTCAACGACTTTGTATTGTCCTTTAAATGGAATCAACCTAACTTCCTTCCCATTATCATTAATGGATCACAGATTGATCGAGCAGAGAAATTGTCGATCCTTGGTTTATCTATCACAAGCGATTTAAAATGGAACGAACATGTGGACAAAATAGTTAATAAGGCATCCAAACGAATCTATTTGTTGAAACAGCTTAATTAAAAGGTTTGGACTTGACGCTTTATCCCATACCTGTGTTAAAAGCGGCTTTCTGATTGGTTTAGAGCAGGTGAGCTTGTCGTCGAGCTCACCTGCTTTTTGCCGAACTCACCTGCTTTTCGCCCGAACTCACCCGCTAAACTGCTTACGTTGCAATAACAATAATAAATATGGCGGACAAGATTTAGCCGATAAACTTAAACTTTAAAGAACTTTTTTCGGTGACTAACATACTGAGACTAAAGAAAAACCAAAGAAAAAAAATGCAGTAAAGGTAATGTAGACGTAGATAAAGAAGTATTTTCTTGCCCAATGATTTTTTTGGCCTGGAAAATGTTCACAAAACATCGACGAATATATCGCGAAGAGCTACAAAATTACATTTAATGTGTGTACAATCTCGTTCCCCGAGCCTGCGATCCTTGGGAAGGAAACGAAGGCTCTGGGATAATCCATCTCAGACATACAGAAAACTGTATGTCGACCGAACTGCGCATGCGTTGGCAAAAGCAAAACAAATTGTTTGAAATATTTTATTGTTTCGTCTATAAAATGACGATTTTTTCTGGGTTTTGGTCGAAATGTTGATGTTCTTCATAGTGGGATACAAAAGGTGTGTTAGCGACTGAATAAGGAAAATATTGCGTGTGAAACAGGGTCAGTATAGAGCCGGCAGGAGCCGCGAAGAGTGCTGTTGTCGAAGAAAAATGTCACAATTAATTGTAATCTTGTCCATTCACCTCTGTGTCAGTTTGAAAAAGCTTTAAATGTAGAGACATTTGTGGTTCCTCCAGCATAATTTAGCCGTTTAACGCCATTATGTTTCTAATGGTCGAAAGAGTGCGTGGAAAGGGCAATTTTCAAGAACAAAAACAATTACAATGTACTGTGTGTTATTAAATTGCTACTGTAGTATCTCAAATTCTAATATTAAGTCGGTTATAAACCTTGATAATATTAAAGTTTTCAGAAGATTTGTATATCAGAGGAATATTAAAAGGAATTTAGACTTATTAAACATATCATTAAAAATATGAATATAGTGAATTCCATGTTTATATTGTGTTATCATCTCTAGAAATTAACAGTTTATAAACCAAATCCTTGTTATATTTTTTAACTGCCCTTATAGCTTTCCTTATATGCTTTAATATTTGCCAGCAGTTTAGTAGGTTAGGGATGCAACAACACTTCAAATTATTGAATTATAACCAAATTTTGTGTCTGGATAGGAATTACTATTAAAGATTTACAGTTTGTAATGATAAAGTTGGAGCAAGTTAAGCTGCATGCAATGTGCCTCAGTTTGCCCTACTTTGTTATTTTAAGCTGTTTAACACCAGAATTTTTTCTCGTCAAGGGGAAAGTATTGGACTTGGTATTTGAATGGGTTAACCAGTCCATCTGCATGTCTACCTATCTTTGGTTAATTATCTCATTAGATCATTAAGCCACAATGCTCTTTAGTGCACCCTATTTTGTTATTTCACTGTACTTCTGGACAATATTTCTCATCAATGGCCGGAAATGTACTTGACTTCATGTTGATTACTGCCATTAATTAATTAATTAATTAATTAACTACTGTACTAAATAGGACATTCAAGGTTGGAGATATAATAGCAATAGAGGTTGCTATCATTGTAGCATTCAGGGGCGTCGCTAGTCCAAATGGATCGTTCCAGAAAAGATCCATACTCCCCCATGGCGGAAATTTCTGCTGTCCGGAGGGGGAGGGGAGAAAAAATTGTTTCTGATAATAGTAAATGTATTAGCCATCCGAAAGGGGTAGGGGGGTTAACTTGTGGGGGTGGTACCGTATGGATGTTTTCTGGAATGACCCAATTGTCAGGCATTTGGCAATTTATTGTATCGCAATCGGGAAATTGTTTTCGTGGCCAGCATGATTTGAATTGGATAGGAATGGAAAAAACTGAAATATACGAGTTTTTGTTGCCCCTCCCGTTCTCAGAGTAGGTATGTGTTGTTTTATAATGTAAATAACAAGTTTTGATATTGCAATCAAACTGACAGGGTAGTTGTCATGACCATGGTAATAAAAATATTTCTATGGCTCGGCATTTATATTGGGCAATATTTTATCATTCATCACAAAATTATACGTGCACCCTAGGTGGTTCCCTGCAGGGGGTCACAACCAGGGGGAAGCTGATGAAAATGAATTCTGGTATTGGTGGCTGATCACTATCATTTAATATTTTTGTGAATAGAGTTTTCTTAAAAAAAAAAGTATATGAATTTATTAAAAATATTTATATGGTCTGCCAATCTGGAATTCATACTTTGTAACCTTTGGATCAAAAGGTTTATGACGTTTTCTTGGACAGAATCCAATTAATACAACCTCGTACAGAGGGCAGGGCTTCTTTGAATTACTGCATGTGTGGACAAGATTAACGAAGGGATTGCCAATTTGGCATTATTGTACTACTCAATAAATTAAAATCATTAAATACTTTATGCTACAATTAGCTGTAATATTATACTGTATATTATTGTGTTTCATATGACGTCATAAATTTGATGGGGGGGGGGTCAACTCTGAATCGAGACACAGTCATCAGAGTGAATTAATTTTTCACTGTATGTGTTGGCCTTGTGTTTGGTGGAAAATACATGCAATTTCATATCATTTGCTCACTACAGTACAGCATATTAGAATCAATACATTTTAGGTTAGAATTCATTATATGTATTAGGTGTATGCAGACTGGAATACAAGTTATAATATCACTGCTTGTGAAATTGTGGTTTATTTAGAGAATAAAGGTTTTTTGAACTCTTTAAATTATAACAGCAAAAGATTCATATGCACCCATATAGGGAAGGGTTACATGCTACAAGTTAAAATGAGTATTACATACTCCTGCACTTGAAAAGTTTACAGTATATATACATTAAATAATAAAATATATAACAGTAAATCCCAAGATTGGATTTATTGAAACTAGTCATTAGCTAGTTCTTCATTATTAAAGTAATCATTAGCTAGTTCTTCGCAATTAAATAACACAAAGACAAATTAATAAAAGTTATTAACCATTTCTGACACAAATAGTATTTGCAAAATATAGCACATATTTGATATTATAGTCAAATAGTACAGTGTACTGTACAGTGTACTGACAGTACTGTATACTATGTATAGATTAAAACTACAGAAAACCTGTACAACACAAATATGAGTAAAGTTTTCACGCTCCATTTAACTGTTGTGATATTATACGCATTAAGTATACGTTTCTTTGCATTTCCTTCGTAGTATTAGTATATAGCACAGCTCTGAAACACCAAAACAATATTCGTACACTCCTAAACGGCCGCCATGTTGTATATAAAAATATACGGTTAAAAATTAATTTTTGCAAAATTGCAACATTCCATTGTATACCAACAACCAATCATATTCATTTTTGAGATGGATTATCCCAGAGCCTTCGTTTCCTTCCCAAGGATCGCAGGCTCGGGGAAC